GGAAAAAGGCCAGGTGACTGCCCTGAGAGAAGCAGGAAAGCAGAAGGTGTCTGAGGAGGAGGAAATGCCTGTTAGACCTTGGCAGAGGGAAACATCTCTCCCAAAATAGACCAGGGAGACTGTCAGAAGGGCTGAGCCAGAAGAATTCCTAAGTAAGGCACTTCCAAGTATGGGATTTATGCGGCCGCTCACCCTCCCTCCATGCAGGCACACGGAGGATTAGGCGTGAGAGGACCCGGTTAGGAACCATGCTTAAAATGTTACTGTCTCCATGCCAGTTAACTCATCCCATGGCCAGTTAATTTAGAGGGTTTTCAGGCTCTAAGTGGCTCTTTTCCCAAGGGTCCTTCAAAACAGAAGTGACATCATTTGAGCGTGGTTTCCAAAGTGCCATCTGCTGAGGCAGTTGGGAGGGTGGGCAAACCAGAGGAGGAGGCTGGAAGAGGGAAAGCAGGAGGTAATAGGGGCCAAGACCTGGGCCCATGTTTCTTCCCCATAGGTTGAAAGAGTCAGCCCTGTACCCCAGAAGCCCCTGCAACTCAGGAGGCCCTCACTGGGCAACAGGAGCCCTCACCTTCTTCTGCCCCACAGGGAGAAGCACCTGGAGCTCAGTGCAGGCACAGAGGCAGGCTCCGTGTTCACGGGCCCGGGTGAAGGTAGGTCCCTCCCATCTGGACTCTATTGGTGGTCTGAGCCCCCCCTTCAGGGATACCTGAGGCCCACTTCCAGGGGCCTCTGACCTTTGGGACAGGCACTGGGAGGCAAGGCCCAGCCTGCTCCGCTCTCAACCTGCACTTGCCCTCAGCCCCAGAAGACCCACTGGCCCAGCTGCTACAGGTGCTGCAGGACCTCCGGGAGGCGCACAGTTGCAGCCCAGCCAGCTCCCCGCCCTCAGAGCCAAACTGCCTCCTGGAGCTGCAGACGTGAGGCCTACCCCACACTCCCTCACCGAGCCCCCTGCCGGGTGCTCGGATACCCCTGGTGCACTCCCAACCCTTCACCTCAGTCCCTCTCATTGGGGTGCAGGACATGGGTCTCTCCCAGGCTGGGTGAGTTGGGTAGACAGGGACCAGGGGATCCAGAAGTCCAGAGCTGACAAGGCTGTGGCCAATCATGGCCCATATGAAGTCTCTAGGGGAATGTGGGGGCTCCTGCTCTTCTGAGAGGCTTTGCTGCTCCCAGCAGTCCCTGAGCTGTCACCGCCACTAGCCCAGACTCTTCAGGGACTTTCTACTCCTGCCCATAGCAGACCCAGCCAGAAACTACCCCTAGGATGGTCTACACCCAAGTGGACTAATACTTCCTTACCCAGAGACGTGGGAAGGACACAGAGCCCAGGAGACCAGGCCTTGACCTCAGTACCCACTTTGCTCTTGGCCACCACTCCACCTGCTCTCCTCACAGCTGCTGGCCGTGCCCCTGGGAGAGCATCGCGGTGCTCTATCACCGACAATAAATAAACCTGCTGTGACTGTGGCTCTGGAGTCTCATGATGCGGCTCAGTGGAAGGAGTGGGCCTGGGTACCCAAACGCCTGCTGGGGGGCATGGCCAAGGACCTGCTGCCAGCATAACCTCTGTATCCCCATCTATTCTTTGCTTCCCCTCTCCCGGGGGGGGGGAGGGACTCCTTTCTCCTCCTAGCTGCTGTCCTCACGATGCCCCTAGGTCCCACTCCTCTGTCTCCCATAGGCTACATAGCTTGACCTGGCTCACCAGCTGTCCTCTCCTTGTAGCCCCCACACAGGCTCCAAGTGTCCTGAAGACTGCACAGCAGGGGCAGGTTCAGAATCTTGACTCATGTGGCCTGGCCCTGGTAGCGTTCCTTATGTCAAAGTAAGGCCCCCTCTGGTCATCACCTCCCTGCCCTCATCCCGATCCATCTCTAGGCACACAGTAACGTCCAACATAATTAACAAGATGAGGAAGGCACAGGGGCTTCCAGCACATTCTTTAAAACTCATCCAACCAAGCTTGGAGCCTGTGAATCCTAGGCTTAGGACAGTCCCCAAGGGCCTGGGTCCCATGTAGGACCCCTGACTCAGCTGACCAGCCAGGTCCTGGGGCAGGGCCATCTGGACAGGCTGCATAATGGGTTCTTTGAGGGATGGCAGAGGAAGCAAAGGGGGATGAAAGAACAGGGGTTTCCCCTTCCCTCTACCTTTTGGGGCCATGTTGACCTTTTCTCCTGGTCACAGCCTCAATGGGGGGCAGTATCCCCCCACAAGAAGCCCACCAACCCACCCCTTGGATATTCATCTCCTCTTGGCTGTGATGCTACCATCCTGTGGATCTCATGAGCTGCTTTGCAGGGTTAGGTGAGCCCTCTCCCTTTCTGGCCCAAGGTTTGGGTCCAGCGGTGGCTGAGCTTGCTCTGCCCCTACCCCATCAGGACCTGGTTCTGTGGCTCCTTTCTTAGAGCCTCACACAAATCCTCATGCCTGGTGGATATTCTTGGGTTTCCAGGACTTCATGGTCAGGAAGTATGGACTCCAGGGTCTCCTGAGCTCGAGTACAGGGAATGAAGGGGGGAAGTGTGCACTTATTGGTGCTGCAACAAGTAGAATTCTGGATTTTAAGTGCATACATACAGCTGCCCACTGGCAAGGCCCACCACCCTCTCCTTTAGTGGATCCTGGTGTGGACATGGCCACCACAGCCAGAAGGGGAGTTAAAATGAATGCCTGGCATTGTCCCTACCATTCATGTACCCCCACCCCTAAGGTCTCCTCTCAGGCTCTGAGCAGAGCTGCCTACAGCCCCGGATACTACATTCTTTTTGGAAGCCACCTGGGAAAAAGGAAGACAGAAAAGACTCCTGTCTGCCTATGGCACAGGAAAGCGCCAGAGGTCACACTTTGCACCTGCCCAGGGATTCTGCACTAACACCATAGCCCCTCAGGATCGCCAGGCCTGTTATTTGCCTAGGGCCTGGGTCAGGTCCTCTTGAGGCCTGTAGCCCTGGGGACTGTCAATCAGCACAGGGCAGGCACCCTGGGAAGCCCTGAGCTGGTCCAGCTCACACAGTACTTGCATCTTTCATCCTCTGGGCCTGTCCTGTAGGAAATCTGGGAAAATTCCCACCAACTTCCTTTTGGAAATTCCTGCCAAAGTATAGTTTTCAAGTATATTTTAAAAATGACTCACACAAATACAGAATGAACATGTATCAAAGACTTATTACACACAAAGGAGGAAATGAGTGTTTGGCAAAGCTGGCTCATAGAGCATTTTGAGAAGCCAGGTAAATATTTGTAAGCATTCTGAGAAAAGAATGTTAGAATAAGATTGTGACGTTCTCTATGGGATAGAAACTTACAAGTTCATAAGTAACTTCAGTGTCTGGGTTCTAATAGAATAATAAATATCAAAGTCAAACCCGGGTCCACTCCCCAATATTAGGGATTGGCTAACTTTCTAAAAAGGCCCAGGCATATAAGTTTTGGTCACAATTACTCTCAGAGCACAAAAGTAGCCACAGACAATGAGTAAACAAATGGGCTTAGCTTATTCTAATAAAACTTTATTTACAAAAAGGGGGCAGGCTTGATTTGGTCTGCAAGCCCTCATAGTTTGAGGATCTCTGCCCTAGATAATTAACCCTTGGGCAAGCCTGTTCAACAATGCTTTAGTGTGACACTGATAAAACATGCTCCCATCACCTGTTTCCAAGTTTGGATAATGTTTCTTAACAACCCTTGTCCCAGCAGCCACTTTCACAATTGTGCTAGGCAGGCCTATCTTATCAGAAGATGGGAATGGTCACTTGGCCTCCTCTTGGGGCACACCAAAATCGAGCCTCTGAAGACTCTTTGGGGGTGCTGACAGCTTCTGGCACCCAGGGTCTGATGCTGGTTTGGGAATCAAAGGGTAAATACGACCAGAACTCCCCAAGAGAGGATAGACTTCCACAGTGGCAAGGAAGGCGAGGCCCTTGCTGGGTAAAAATTGTCTCCCCACTCTAGCCCAGTTAAAGGGAGCCAGTCTTGGCACATCCAGGTTCCTGCAATCCTGGCAAAGGTAGCATCCTTGGCCCAAACTTTTCCAGGATGACTCAGAAGAATGGGGATTACAACCTCAGGGCTTTCTATTTCTCAGCAGTTAAAGAGGTGCCCACCAGCTTGACCCAGACAGTCAAGGTTGGTGTGGGCCTCCAGTGAATGACACTTTCTCACCCCAGCCCTGGAGGCTCAAGTAGGAAATGGCCCTTCCCAGAAAACGGTAGTGGAAGCTCAGATTTCCTTTGGGACTTGGCTGCTGCCCAGACTTAAAGAAACAGCTGGAAAGCTATTAGGGCTTCAGTAGCTAATCTGAGACTCCAGACCCTCCCGCTTCAAACAGCTCAGGTAGGACCTTTATGCTAAGCTGTAGTCTGCAGAGTATCAACCAGTCAAGAGGCAGATGCACTTATCCCTCCCAGAGCCTCTCTCACACGTACATACACACCTTCCTCCTGCCCCAGCCCTCACCCAATTGTCACCCTAACAAGACGCGCACTAGGCCACAAGCCCACTTGGCAAATCAGTTACAACACAGCCAGGGGCTTGTAGCAGTCTGCCCAGGCAGCCTAGGCAGGGGGCTTATCCATACACAGCCGTCTGGTTCAAGGGATGGACGCCCGTGAGCCTGAGGCTTCTTCCGCCCCCACCAGCCACACCTACACATACCCCAAGGCTCCAGTCATTCAGGGGCCTCTTGCTGTGTACTCCAAGGGCACATTTGTAAAGACAGATCAGGGGTGTGGGGAGCAGAGGTAGGCGACCTCGGGGTAGCTGCTTATCCTGGACGAGGATATCTCAGTACGCAGAGCACCTCCCAGCTCTCCGAACAAGCGACAAAGCGAAGGGACCTTCCGGACTCACGCATGCGCAGAGTCACCAGCCTCCCTCGGATTCTGGTGCCTGCGCAAGATCCTCCAGCCCGATAGGGGGCAATGGGCCAGGCCTCCCGCGGGCTTGGCGCCGCCGGCGACTCGGAAGCGGCCGCGCATCCGGAAGAGGAGGCGCTGAAGTGCTCTGGAGGCGGCGGCGGGGCTGCTGAGGCTCCGGAGGCGGCTGCGGCGCCAAGATGAACGCCCCTCCTGCCTTCGAGTCGTTTTTGTTGTTCGAAGGCGAGAAGAAGTAAGTGGAGCCGGCCGGGGCAGGCCGAGGGTCGCGGGCCCTCAACTCTGCGGCCAGCTCCTGCAGACTCTGGGGCCTGACCTGACCTCCGGGGGTGGGCTTGGCGGGATTTGGGAAACAGCTTTTGCTTGAGCGTCCGCTCGCAAAGCGGTTCGCTCACGAGTCTGCCAAACTTGATGGTCCTGCGAGGCCGTGGGAGTCTCCCCTTTGCAGAGGAGGGCACAGGCTCAGAGGTTAAATTACTCCCCGGCACACGGGAAGTGGTGGGTCTGTTTTGGGGCCCAGACTTCCTGGCTCCAAAGTTTTTTTTCTCTGGGCTGTGGCAGCCTTCTCGCTCCTCTCCTGGCCCGCCCGCCACCGTTACCCTCCTTGTTGCAACCGGCGATGGTTCGTAAACTCATATCCGACCTCTGTCCGCCTGTGTAACACCTTCAGTGACTCCTTATTGCTTGTAGGGTGAAAGAAAACGTAGGCCCATTGTCAGACAGCTTGGGCTTGGCCCCTGCAGCCCCCACTTAAGGACTCTGTGTCTTTGGGCAAGTGACTCAATCTGCCTGAGGCCTGCTTTCCTGATCTGGAAAATGGGCTTATTACTGTGTTAAATCACAGTAAGTAAACCTAGGGGGAGAGTAAGTAATGCAATTTATGGAAAGTGCTTAGTCCAGGACTCAGCACCTAGAAGATCCTCTTAAACACTGGGCTTTCAAACTTCTGTTAGCCTGGTGTGCAGGGCTCTATGGTCTAGCCCTTGCTAGCTACTTCAGCCTCTCTTGAGAACAGTTCTTACCTGGGGACCATTTTGCTTCCCAAGGGACTTTTGGCATCTCCTGCAAACATTTTTGGTTGTCATAAAGGGGGTTCTACTGGCACTTAGTGGGTAGAGGCCAGAAATACTGCTATCATCCGAAAATTACAGCTGGCCTTCTACCAAAAAGAATTATCTGGCCAAAAATGCCAGTAGTGCCAAGGCTGAGAAACTGCGCTTTAGGAAAAAGGTGCAATCCAGACAGAGTAGGCTAGGGTCCCACAGAATCAGGGCATAACTTGGGTCAGGGTTGTAGATACACTGCTGCTGAGACAGAGAGGTGTTTATAGGATGAAGCAATTGAGAAAGGCTTCCAGGAATAGGTGGGACCTGAGTCTGCCTTAAAGGGAGGAAGGGAGGCCCCGCCCCCATCTCTTGCCTCTGCCTCTTCCTAGGATCACCATTAACAAGGACACCAAGGTACCCAATGCCTGTTTGTTCACCATCAACAAAGAAGATCATACACTAGGAAACATTATTAAATCGTAAGTTCCAAGTCAAAAGCTCTCGGGGGCTATGTCTCCCCCCACCCCAGGGCTATGTTTAATGGGGCTCTTTGAGGCAAAGTATAAGTTCCAGAAGATATTTTTATTTGTTAATCCTCACCGGAGGATATTTTTCCATTGATTTTAGAGGGGGGGGGAGGAAGAGAAACATTGATATGGGAGAGACATATCGATTGATTGCCTCCTGCACATCCCCTGACCAGGGCCAGGGATCAAATCTGCAACCCAGGCACGTGACCTTGACCAGAAATCAAACCCAAGACACTAACCATGGAGCCACACCGGCCAGGGCCAGAAGATTTTCTTAAGTCTTTCTGAGCTGCATGAAGTCTTTCTGGTTGCTAGCTTTGGCAGTTCACTAATTCCAGTTGCCTTTTCTTCAAAATGACACTGACAGATATCCATCCACATAGCCGCATTTCTGCATTGGCACATTTATCTGACTAAAGTAAGTGAATATGCAGGAAGTCACAGAAAAGTAGGCCTACTTGTGGTTTTATGCTAATGAGCATGGAGTAGTATTCAGGGTTAGCTCCCACCCGCCTTGCCCATTTGTGACAATGAATTCAGTGACACCTGGCATTCTGAGATGTGCCAGAGATTGTAACTGAGTAAAATAAAGGGAAGAGGTAAGAGAGGGGCTAAATGGTTATCCGGTGCCTCTGGTGGGCATCTGATATTGTTTGGTTGGTGTTTGTTCACACCAGAGAAGTCCTGGCCAGGTAGGTGGTTAACAATGTGATTGATGCTCTGGCCCAGGGACTTACTTCACTGCTGAAAAGTACCATCAGTGGAGCAGGCCTTGCCCAGGTTTGTGTTTGAGACTGGGCTGAAGCCTTCCTGGCCTCCTAGTGTAAGTAGAGGGTGGCGTTGCCTATCTTTTGTTTGGATGACTCCCGCCCTGCACCAAGCCAGTTGGTGCACCCAGGCTCTTTTGGACCCGGCATGAGTCGGGTCTTCACTTATGCAAGGGCCCTCCCTCTAGGTGCTCACACAAGATTGAGCTGCTCTGGAGAAAACCCTGGTGTGCCCAGTAAATGACACTGGCTTCACCTCATAGAACAGGACCCATGGGGTGGACAGCAGCTGCCAACCTATGTTATCTAAAGGACTTCCATTTCCCTAACTGCTCAGAGCATGAGACCTTCTCCCCCTGTGCCTTCATTTGCTGTCTCAGATGCTTTTTGAGCTGGGAATGGGGCTTTTGTGTTCTGGTTTACTGAACATTGGCTGGATTTTTACTGCCTAGGGAGGCCTCTTTCAGGGCATTGCAGGGTCCCTGACTTCCCCTAAGGGAAGAGGTTGTTGGTAATCCTATTTACCAGCTGAGGTTCTTGATCCTCATAGATACAAGGCTGTGTGTGTGGGAGGAGTTCTCATATGGTATATCTTCTCCAAAGTATGTGTTTTACTTGTTTTTTGGGTGGGGAAAAAAAAAAACCAGAATCAAGAACAGGAACCACCTGGTGTCAGCTGCCAGCTGCATTTACTTATAGCCTCAAGCCAATGAGAAGACCCCTTGGCTAGAAGGCCTGGTAAGCTACAAGGGGCCAGAGCTCCAAGGGCACTAGGCTCAGCCTCCTCACACTGCTCATTCCTGTATCTCAGACAGCTGTTGAAGGACCCGCAGGTGCTGTTTGCTGGCTACAAAGTTCCTCACCCCTTGGAGCATAAGATCATCATCCGTGTACAGACCACACCAGACTACAGCCCCCAGGAGGCCTTCACCAATGCCATCACAGACCTCATTAGCGAACTCTCCCTGCTGGAAGAGCGATTCCGGGTGAGGAGCCAGCTGTGCGGGGGTGGGTTGGTATGGATGCCAACCTGTTTGTCCCAGAGATTTGGGTTCTCATGCCTACACCTAGGATGACCCCTGGGTGGTTCCCTCTCATTTGTTTGGGAGAAAGGGGCAGAGGTGATGACAGGGCAAGGACTTGTACCATAGCCTCCAGGAAGTGTGGATAAGGCTATAGAATTGAGGCCTGGGGCCTGCTGTTTGCAACCATGGGTGGGAACCTCACCTAGTGCGCCAGGGTCTCCTTGTACACTCTGGTCCCCATGGAAGCAAGGGGCCTACTACCCCTTTGTGCTGCTCCTTCAAGTCTGTTCTCTGGCTCCTGACTGCTCTGTGGTTTGTAAGGCCTGGCTGTGTCCAGGGTATTTGTCTGCCTAGAGGGCAGCTCATCCTAGGGTGTGTCACACTTGTTCAGGCAGGGAGCTTCAGTCGAGACAGTTTAGAATGGGAAAGATCCAGTCTGCCAGATTTCAGTATATTATATACTCACCAGGAAGGACCTCTGCTCCACTTGACTCCCATCCTAGGCAGCAAGATGTGTGCTACAGAGAAGTGATGGGGCAGGTGGGGTAGGCTCAGAGAGTCCTTAAGGTTGCTGGCTGCCAAGTTCCCTGGAGCTGTTTTTGTTTTTTAAAATATATCTTTATTGATTTCAGAGAGAGGAAGGGAGAGGGAGAGAGAGAGAGAGAGAGATAGAAACATCAGTGATGAGAGAGTCATTGATCGGCTGCAGCCCGCAACCCGGGCATGTGCCCTGACTGGGAATTGAACCCTGATCCGCTGAGCCATGCCCGGCTGGGCCCTGGAGCTGTTCAGGGCCTGGTTTACTGCTTCTCTTCTGTTCATGGCTGCACTCTGGAGCTGTGGAAGCAGTTTCCTGGCAATCTGTGATCAGGGATGCTAGGGCTGACTTTCCAACACCCTCACCTGGCTATTCCAGCTAAGTGTGCTGCCTCTCCTTTCCCTCAGGTGGCCATCAAAGACAAGCAAGAAGGAATTGAATAGTGGGCTGGAAGCAGTCTTGCTTGGCCAGTTCCTACCCTGCACTGGGCCCTTCTCCAGGCACCAAGTGGAAGAGAGCAGCTTCTTTCAGCCATGGGCCTCCTTGGAAATATCCCAGAGAGCCCTTCACCCCTGACACCAATGTGTCCTGTACATAGGTCCTGTTTAATCTTCCTAATAAAGTTTGGCAGGAAAAGACCCAGGTGTGACCTGAAGCAGAGGTGACTTCACAGCAAATGGATTGTCAGGCTCAGTGGAGGTAGATGACCTGTCTCATGGCTACTCTGGGGCCACCTGCAGAGTGAGCTGGCCCAGAAATCCAGATTTCTGTCTGAGAGGTGGCAGAAACAAATGCATTCTGAACCATCTGGGAATCGGCGGGGGCGGGGGGAGCGGCTGCAGGGAAGGCAGTCTTGAGCGGAAGGGAACTGCTCAAACCCATGAACTTACATGAGTCTCTACGTAGAAGCCCCAGTTGCCAGGTCAGCCTGTTTTACTCAAAGTAGCAACACCAGAGGGACCCACAAACAGCTCTCCCAGGATTCTTACATAGTAGTTTAATAAAAATACTCATTCATAGAAAGATCCCCATCATTAGCCCAAAAGTCAAATAAGTTAAATTGTATCCCTGGTACTTTGCAATAGGGGCAGGAGCTCCTGCTGAAAGCTAGTATCTCTTCCAGATGGCTACAATGTTGGAATCTGTCAAAGCGGTGAGGTAGGTAAAGGTGGGATTGGCCACCACCGTGTTCACCATGGTCTTGGTCACCGTCTGGCTGAGGGCCCGGGGTTGGGGCCACTTAAGGACCTGGTAGGAACAGAGACAGGGGCTTGGCTCCTTCCTAGATAGCAGGCCCCTTGGCTGCACCAGTCCCCAGCAGCGGGGAGAGGAGTGAGCTGTGCATACCTGTGTGGGGGCTTGTGGGGTTGCCGTTAGTGGAGGCTGCTGCGTCAGAATGTGCCTGACATCGTAGATCCACACGCTGCCCTCCTCATCCCCACAGAGCACAATGCCCTCATCTACCAGGACACAGAGATTGGAACTAAGGTGGAGCAGAGCTTCAGGGGGTGGAAGGCAGGATGGGGTATGTGGGTGGGCTCACCAGGACAGGTGCTGAGTGAGAAGTAGGCCAACTCAGTGGATGACCACTGCAGCCGAGCCAAGACCACCACTGCCACTGTGGACTGGCTGCCCCGGCCCACCCACGTCTGGCTCCAGCTCCACAGGCAGATGATGCCCAGGCCATTCCCTTTGGAGGCTGTGAGGAGGAATGGAGAACTGTGCCTGGGGGGCCCTCTCCCGGCATCTCTTGTTCCACAGTGGGGACCCCTCAGAAGTTCTCAGGCCTAGACCGCAACCCAGGGAGAAGCAACCCATGAAGGCCTTACCAGAGCCCTATCTGGGTCCCAGGAGGCAGACTCTCCAGAGCAGGGCTCACTCACCCACGACATCCTCATTCACAAATGCCAGCCCGTCCACTCTCTGGCCAGATGTCTCAGAGCCCTCAGAGAAGATGAACTCCACTTCACATACCCTGTGGGGCCACAGGAGATGCTGGTCAACTATTCCTTGCATATACAGTTTCTCATTATGCAATGAGAACCATACATTGGGCTCTGCCCTGTGTGGAGATCAGAAGATGCAACCAAGAATATCTGTTCTGGGCCCTGGAGGGGTTAAGCTTCATCCTGGAAGTGGGAGCCAGCACCTGAGTATACGGAGTCACAGGTGGTGGGAACTCAGAAGCATGAGGGGCTGGTTCTTCCAGGATGGGGGATGGTGTGACCAGGGAGGGTTCTGGAGAGAGGCAACGCCTCTGGGACTGAGATGAGCAGGAGGGAGGCATTTCCAGCTGAGTGCTGGGGGTCTGGGAAGGGAGAGACTGCGGAAGAGTTTTTGTAACCCTGAGGACAGTGGGGAGTGGCTGCTGAATGTTTCTGAGTGTGTATGTGGTCACACTGCTTGGAAAGGCCACCAGTGGCTGCCTAGACTCCTGGAGGGGACACCTGGAAGTAAGAAAGGCAACCATACACCAACTGTGAGGAACAGACACATCTACAATGTGGGAAAGAAATGCCACAGGACTTGAGGACTAGGGAGATGTGAGTGAGCAGGGAAGGAGAAGAGGCAGGCCTGGGGCTTGACTCCCAGGTGTGGCACAGGGCCACCGCCAATACTTGGCTGAACAACTGCCGCAGGGTGCCAAGGCTTCCACTACTTCCCTCCATGTAGCAGCTACTTCACTCCTACCACCCAACCCTAAAATTCTTTCCAGGCTATTCACTGCACTTAAGGTAAAACTCAGAATCTTACCATGGCCAACAAAGCCAGTGTACCCTGGCCCGAGTAACCTTGCCACCGTATCTTGTACCATTTCCTGTTTTTCCAAGCCAGCTCTCCCTACCACTAGCCCTTTTCACATGCTGTTCCTCCTGTGTACACATTTTCCCTCCTCCTACCCACCTCTCTCACAGGGCTTATGTGGAGAGCACGAATCTAAGAACTTATCCATCTGCCACTGGTCGCCTCTTCAGAGTCCCCTTGGACTTCCTATTCCCCTCAAAGCACCTGATTCTCTTTCTTTCATTGCTGACATCATACTTTGGGCAGGGCTGGTTGCCAGGCTGGGTAGACACTTGGGTCCATGGAGTTTTACTTGGCCACCTTTGTTTAATGCGTCTCCCCTACTAGGCTTGTGGGCCCCAAGAGGACTGGGACTCTGCTGAGCACTGTCTTGGGCCTTCCAGGTGGCATGGATGAGCCACAAGCTTCAACCTGGCCCATCTCGGACCTCGTCCCTGCCCAGACACCATCCTCCTTGTCCTCCACTAGCCCTGGGGTGCAAGTTACTGTCCCAGCTTCACAGATGAGGAAATTATGCTATGACAAGAAGGTCACATTGCTGGTAAGTGGCAGGACATGGGCCATAGTGAAGCCCCACGTTGAAGGTGAAGAGATCACAGCCCAGAGAGGGAGCTGAACCCAAGTCTCATAGCCAACCACTAGGGAAGGAATGCATCACAGGGACCTTTACTTAAGAGATTAGCATAAGGTGGGGACAGGCCAGCTCTGTGAAGAGGACCATGAAAACAGCCTCTCTGGATGCCCAGGGCAGCATGCATGGTTTGGGCACCATCTCTGGCAGATGTGCCTGGGGTCAGACATCTGGACTGGCAGCTGCCCCAGCTCTGAGGCTTGGCTTTCAAGGCATCCCCATCTGCCTCACCTTCTCTTTTGAGGCTGGTCCAGCCGCACATCCCAGCAGCAGCAGCCGCCCTCACAGCCAGCTAGCAGATAGGCATCTGGGCAGGAGGCCACGGGGCAGAGGCGCAGGGGGGTGGAGGTGGTATCAAGTGTGAGCAGCTGGCTGCCAGCAGGGGAGAGGAAGAGCATGAGGCCATGGACCCAGGTGTCTGCCCAGACTGACAGCCAACCCTCCTCACACCAGCCCTGCCCTAATCATCACCTGGCCTGGAATGTGTAATCTTTGTCAGGAACCCCAATGTCCCAGAGGATGATCCGCTTGTCATAGGAGGCCGCTGAGGAGGGGACGGGAAGGGGAGAGGTGGCTCTGAGGAGGCCCAGCTTCCTCCTGCAGGCTGCATCCAAGGCTGAGACCATGGTTCCAATGCCCGCCCCTCTGAAGCAGGGAGGGCGGGCCAGGGCCTACAAGCCCTATCTTATTCTAACCTAATGTGTGCCACACCAGGCAGCCATCTTTTGTAGGCCTCTGCTCACACATCACCCTCACCGGGCTCACCGCAACCGAAGGGCCAGGAGTATCCCCCGAGGTCATAGACAGAGTGGCCCAGATTGTCAGAAAGCTCCAAGGCCAGAGAACAGGTTGGGGAAAAAGCCAGGATCCAAAGCCCAATCAGTTGTCCACAAAGCCACATTGCTTCTATCATGGCCGGAGCCAACCATGGCAGCCTGGGGTGAGACTGTCAGCCACAGGGGTCCCCTACCATTCCAGGGAGGGAGCACTGAGGCATCAGGCTGCAGGACAGGGGTGCTGGGGGAGCCCTGGATGTGGGGAGAGGGTCTTACTGAAGAGGTGGGTCTCGTGGGTAGGGCTGAAGCAGAGAGTGGCGATGGCCTTCTTGTGGGCCCGGATAACTCCGCAGCAGAACCCAGCGCGCACGTGCAGCAGCCGGACCTGGCCCCGCAGGCCTGCAGCTGCCAGCACACTCCAGCGCTTCTTGTGGCCTGCCTGTGTGACCACTGTCAGGGCTGTCCAGGCCACTGAGAAGAACTCCTGGGGGTGGGAGCGTGTGGAGCAGTCACCAAGGGGCAGAGGTACATGTGTGCACATGCATGCAGGATCAAATCTGGGAAACTGAGGCCCAGCATCAAAGGAAAAGGTCACCTGGTGAGCAGGTGACACTCCTGCCCCCAGGGCTCTGCCCACTGCCCTACAGGAGGGCCCTGGCACTCACCTCGCCAGGTGCCTTGTACTTGTGCAGTACAATGCCCGTCTGGCAGTCTATCACACACACAGCCTCTCCGCCGCACGTCGCCACAGACTGGGATGCGGCCCCTGTATGCCCTGTTTTGAGGGGTCATCCTAGTAAAAACATATTCTGTAAAGTTTCCCCCTGCAGTTCCCTCCTCCTGGCTTTGATGACATTTTTTTAAGCTCTCTGTCTCTCCTGATTCCCCCATGGCCCAGGCAGCCACACTCCAGGTGGCATTCCCAGGCCCCCCCACCTGTGGCCCTTGCCCTGCTTGCCCACCAAGGATGTACCCTCCTCCCAGGCCGGCTCAAAGGCGCAGGCCCAGAGCTGGGTGTTCAGGTCCTCAGGGCTGTTGTTCTTGCTGTGGCACTGCAGGAAGTACAGGGGCTCCAGCTTCAGGGCAGGCTGTGGGGGCAGAAGGGGGTTATAGCTGCCCCAACCCTTGCTCCCACCCTCATACTCCCTGCCACCTTGCTATAGCTTACCTGGCCACCATCAGAACCCATGGGGCGTCCCTCCACCTGGGCCAATGGGGAAGTGCACACCCGCTTGTTGGGAGAGAGGTTGAGTGGCATATCCTCTGGCCGTTTCCAGGCCACTGGCCTGGCCTGTGTGTGGGAAGGAGTGGCTGAGAGCCTAGTGACCATGGGCCCATCCACCCAGGGCTTCTTTCTTCCCTATCACAGGCTAGACCGCATCCTCCCATGAGTGTAGGAAGTAAGGAGTGGCCCAGGGTCAGAGGG